CTTTATTAAAGCTGTTTAAACATATTCAATAATATTTTCAGAGTTGGAACGAGGAAGTTATAGGTTAATGTAAACATTGATTTTAAAGCATTTCCACACTGGGTGTTTTTTTTTTATTTTAGACTCGTCCTGCAGGTCCATTTTTACATCCGGGGGATATATAGATCTAAACAGTCAAAGTATAGATTCTGATCAGACATCACTGTTTTAAAGACTTTTGGCATACGACACTGACCAAGCCTTTAAATACGGAATGCCGTTAGGGCCATCGCCTATGAATGTGTTGATCTGAAACGCGATAGTCGATAGTACGATGGTGAAACCGCGAAATCACGAAACTACGATGGTGAAAACGCGAAATTACGATGATGAAAACGCGATAGTACGATGATGAAAACGCGACAGTACGATACTACGATGATGAAAATGCGATAAACTTTCGTGTTTTCACCATCGTACTGTCGCGTTTTCACCATCGTAGTTTCGTGATTTCGCGTTTTCACCATCGTAGTTTCGTGATTTCGCGTTTTCATCATCGTACTGTCGTGTTTTCATCATCGTACTTTCGCGTTTTCACCATCGTACTATCGCGTTTTCATCATCGTACTGTCTTGTTTTCATCATCGTACTATCGCGTTTTCACCATCGTACTGTCGTTATTTCATCATCGTACTATCGCGTTTTCATCATCGTATTATCGCGTTTTCATCATCGTACTATCGCGTTTGCAACATCGTAGTTTCGTGATTTCGTGTTTCCACCATCGTACTATCGACTATCACGTTACAGATCAACACATTCATAGGCGATTGCCCGGAATGCCGTTAGGGCCATCGCTTATGAATGGTTTGATCTGAAACGCGATACTCGACAATACGATGATAAAAACGCGAAATCACGAAACTACGATGGTGAAAACGCGACAGTACGATGGTGAAAACACGATAGTTTATCGCGTTTTCATCATCGTAGTATCGTACTGTCGCGTTTTCATCATCGTACTATCGCGTTTTCATCATCGTGCTTTCGCGTTTTCACCATCGTAGTTTCGTGATTTCGCGTTTTCACCATCGTACTATCGACTATCGCGTTTTAGATCAACACATTCATAGGCGATGGCCCTAAGTGCATTCCGTATTTAAAGGGTATAAATGTATATCTTATGAAATATTTTATAAAATCAATCAACAGTAAAATTATATCGTTTTATAACCTTATGGTCGATTCTCAATAGAATGTTCTGTTATTTAACACGCATGAATATTAATCGTAAACAGAATAAAATGTTCCGAAACAATTTTTTTTTTATTTTACAATTTTAAGTAGGGGTTTATCCGTTTAGCAATGATTTCGTACATACACCAATTTCTTTTTAATTTACTACCGGTACCACATTTCTTTCATAAAAGTATTGTATAGGTTTCCTTTTTTTTCTTTTTGAAGTCAAACAATTTTTTTTGCAGCAGATACGTATATAGCTTTTATACACTTTAAACCATCAAGGTCAGGGGCTACTGTTTTGCAGTCCTTGATCATACGATATTTATATACAGTGTACTGATTTGACAGGAGCTGGGGTTTTTTTTTCGGTTCAATTTTAAGACAGATCGTGTAAGAAAATACCAACTTTACTATTACATGAATGCATGTGCCTGTACATATATTTACAGAGTAGATAAGATAATCAAACATTAGATATCATTAATCCTGGAAAAATAACAAATATAGTAAAACGTTAACAAAATATGTTATTTCCACCCACGTGAGTATAGGTTGTTTCATTCTTAAGGTATTAAGACACATTTCATACGAAATGCAAATGATTCATGAAACTTAAAATAATTCCAAACCTTTCCGTTTTATTGAATAATTTGCCATGTGCGATAAGTTTAAAAACAACTATAATATAAATTATATAATAGAGCAGAAAATTCCTTATTTTTAGGGAAAGCGGCTGTCGTTATTTTTTTCCATTGATCGTTCTATGTAGAAAAGTTGGACTGTCATTTTGTGATTTAAATATATAAGAAAACTTCAATTATCTCTCATTTCGAACGAAGGTATGGTTTAGTTTTTATAATTGACTGTATTTCTATTGTACATGTACTTTCCAATCGGCTGGTTTTCAATGTTTAGTATATACATGCATAAAGCACAATTATGAAACCATACTCTACTTTGTAAATGATTAAAGGACACATGAGATTTTTGTTGAATACTGCATGTTTAGTCAATTGCAGTAAATAAAAAATGGTATTATTATCTATCACTATTATTGTATTGTTAATTTCCAATAGGCCAATTGGAGTTATTCTTCCTGTTAATTCAAGTGTACCTTGGGACTAAAGATTTTGTACTACTACTTTTTTCCACAGTACAAATCTGAAACAATAAGTATCTTTAAAAAGATACTTGGCCGAAGTCAAACTTGTTAACTTGCATTGGATAAGCTAGTACTAACCATGTTTACCGCAAACAGAACATTTTATTCGTCCTCAATAGTTTTATTTCAGTTCATTTTTGCCCGCAATGTTTTTCCCCATTAATTGTCATCATAGATTTAAACAATATTACTTACATTATTTGATTTTAATCAAAATATAATTTGATTTGTATAGGACTTTATAAAAAAAAACAAAGATTTAGTAGATACTGTACACTAATTCCATGGAGAATTTTGCAACTGTAAATTAGTCGAAAGTTCGTTTCAATCGTCTTATGCCCGGTTCGAGAAGTGAATACAATGTATATTGATTAGAACAGCTTAGAAGAGAAACCCAATCGAACGCAAAAGTATCAAAAAGGCGATCTGTCATATTTAATTTCATATATTTATGGAAAAGTTGTTAGAAACATCTAGAATTAGAATATCATTATTGTGTTTTTATATTTATTCCGACTTATATCTTTTTCCATCGCGCAATTGAACATCCTCTACCTATAACGGAAGCTCTTTTAAAGTATCAATCGAACAGGCTATCAGAGTTCAAATGACCAATGAAAATTCTGCCTGTATACATTTCTTTACTGTTAATTTTAACGGAAGTCAAGGTGAAATCAGACTGACTTCGGCCGAAAAATGAAAAGCTATAGACACAGTTCCTCAATGAAGTATTTGTTTGGGGTAATAAAATAACTAACACAAAAATGGTGGCTGATTTACGCCATGTCGTACGTATTTTCGCTTATTCGCCTCAATATGCGAAAACGCGAAGGGACAAAATAGTTGGACTTTCCTCTCTTCTCTTCGTGTTTTCGCTTTTTCGGATTTTTGAGGAAAAACCGAAGGACATATTTTTTAAGTAGATCTAATAACAAAAATATGATTCCTCATGAAAAAATACCGTTACCTGGCCTCGGCTAACAAGATAGTGGGTAAAGTGTCAGTCCTAAGCCACCAGTAATACACCAGCCAAATCATAACAGAATCAGTCATTTTAAGAACAGAAAGCTCCTTATTTTAATGTAAATAGTATAAAGCTAAGATTAACCTATAGCGCAAATATTACAGGTCCCCACCGGTCCGCCACTAAATATCAGTGGAGTATTATGAAGTTTCTTGTTGGTACATCAAACTGACACAAAGTAATTTTCTGAGCAAAATTAAAAAGGGACAACAATTCTAAATTATGCATTTTAATGTCACGGCGTTTTGTTCTTGGGACACCGCACTTCTCAATTAAATTTATGTACCAGTGAAGTTTCATATTGATACCTCCAATATTTTTCGAAATATACGCAGAATACGCATGCCCTACGCAGAATATGCATGCGCGAAATGCTATATATACTTTCGTAGTGTAAAAGGGTCTATATTTCCAGTAACTTATTGTTTCAGGAAACGAGCTATGGTCGTTCCTCTTTGGTTCATGTTTATTTAGATTTTATTCTTCTCATAACTGTATCCTCAAACTGTTCAACAAAATTAATGTATGTTTAATCGACCTTAACTTTCACCGCGATGCCGCTACTCTGGTTGTCCATTTTTTGTTGTTGAAAAATTTGAAATATTACATTACGGTTTCTGTTAATTCTGTCCTTATAATTTCTTCTTCAAATTTGGTGACGACCTTCATGGCACGATGATTAACATGGTATAGTGTCCCACCTTCTTTTGAAATGGCTATACCATCACATGCACGTATGAATTTTAAACGATTTAATGATTTTCAAAATGACATGTATATAGTTTGTCCTGTCTGACCGATCTGTATGTATCCAAAATACTATGGTGGCTGATTTGGTACGCTTTTGTGCGTCGAGTTGGAGCTAGCGACAACACGACAAAGCGCCTAACGGCGAGTTGTCAGACTTTCGTCTTGTCGTCCTGTCGCTAGCGACAACACGACAAAGCGCCAAACGGCGCGTTGTTGCGCCGTCGTCTTGTCGTCCTCTCTCTAGCGCGGCACGCCAAACGGCGCGTTGTCGTGTGGCGCGTAGGCGCGATGTCGCCCTGTCGCTTGCCTTTTAAGCCAATCCTTCAATTTGAACCGATCAAGAATGTGACATCGCGACAACAGGCTGCACGACAATGCATCGTTAAGCTTGCCGCGCGAGAGAAAGGACGACAAGACGACAGCGCGACAACGCACCGTTTGGCGCTTTGTCGTGTTGCCGCTAGCGCCAACACGACGCACAAAAGCGTACCAAATCAACCACCATAATCGCCAGTACTGGTTATTTTCGAATATGGTTTACAGAAACCTAAATGAAAAAAGAAAAGAAAAAGAAAAATCAAAGTACAATAACTTAAATTGTTCGTTTTGATACCCAGCAGAAAGTGCTTTATTTTGATAGATTGATAATGATATTCAGTAGTTTAAAAGTAATGTATCATCTGTAAAACATAACAGACTCAACCAAACCGTGCCAGCAGTTTTTCCCCCGTTTTGTGTACCCTTTTCTCTAATTTTAGAGACAAATTAAGTCAATAATTAAAATACAGTATTTCTCGTTCAGTTATACATCTCTAGTACTACCTCAAAAATACAAACGCCCAGTAAGTTTGTTAAGTGTTTATTGCGTATTCACAACAACTTCATGTATATAGTAAACGCTCCCATTTTCAGGTAAATAAATCAGCTATATTCATGATATAGTTAAACATTTTTATTTACTGCGTCTTCATTTGGACTATTTTCCCCCATCGTTTTAGCTTGTCTTTTTATCTGTAGTCACTTGAATTGATTTAGTGTCGTCAGACATTTTGTCGTCTGCAACTGAAGTGCCACGCGGGTTTTTCTCATTCTTTTCTACATTCTGGACTCCTCTGTGGGATCTAAACCATGTATCCACTCTAAAGTTCTTCAAAATAATGCGATCTGACGCCTTTGTGAATATTTTCAGCATTAGTATTTGACACTTTTCTGATACATCTGGTTTCGCTGGAAATGTGACTCGACCTGAAACTTGTTTCAGCAACTCCTTGAGGTTACTGTCGTCAAAGGGTAGACGCCCATATACCTGGAAGACAACCACTCATTAAATCAAGTTATCTTGGAAAATCTATGCAGGTATTGACATATTTAAGGCAAATTATGTCTCAAGTAGAAATATTCTCTCTTTATAAATAGCAAACATAAATTATATACTGTTTTTACATTACGTTTAATTTCATAAATAATATCGGTTTCAGCGGTGTCAAGGGGCAGGACGTGAAGTGGTTGCACACTTGGTTCAAGCGAGCGAATTGGTTGCAAACTTGACAAAATGGCAAACACGACGTGATTTTTTGAAACGGGTGAACGAATTTTTGCCAGGCAAGTGGGTTTCTTTGTTATTTTGAAGTTCATTAGTATGTCTATTCCATAATGCAATATATATACCACACTCGGTTAAAGGTTTCAGCATCCTAGATTCTGTTTTGACGAAGTTATTGAAGATATAAACTGATCATGTAGATATTTTGAAATTTGACTTGTGACTGTTCTGGTCGGTTTTTCTCCTAATTTATTCGAATTTGTAAGTTTTGAACTGCATTTAACAATAACAAAATATGTTTCTGTCAATGCTGTACAAATGGTTTAGTTCGCAAGTCCGAAGATAACGTTCAATACACAAAAATATCTTGTTCAAGCACATTTTGGTTGCAGACTTATACTTCAAGCATTTTTGGTTGCAAACTTATTCTTATTCTATTGAAATCCATAGTAAAACTTTGCAAAAGGATTGTAGTAGTTTATATTTATTAACCTATTTTCAATGGCAATTATTGACATTTATGTTCTTTTACTTGTTTTTGTTATAAATGTTATTTATACTTTCTTCTTTTACAACAAGTATGTACTTTATGTTTGAAATTACATGGTTCTCAGTTCAATACTATAATCATCAGTAAAAGCCTGCAAACAAAATAATAGCACATAGAAGAAAAATATTTATTGATACTTTAATTCTAAAATATGTCATCATATGTAAAATGCAAATGAAACTACATACAAAAAAACGTATGTGAGAGTACTGCTGTATGTAAGTGAATTATTTTCATTATAAACATAAAGACATGTGCTCACATACGATGTTACTCGGCAAAATTTCCAAAGTTTATCAAAACCACAATAAATGTTATTTTGTTTGTTTCGTATGTAAAGATCAGCAGTTGCTTTCGACATAAAGTATGTAAATGTACTTATAAACCAAAAGTTAAAATGACATGCTTGTTTACAATATTTCGGATTTGATGTACATAATTATCATAATTATATGTCAATTGGTATTCTAAAAATTATTTTGACTATTAGATCATAATATAACTGATATACGATTGGTAATTTACATTGACTGATATGTGACAAAACTACTTAACCTTTTCCCTTATATAAGCGTGTTTCGACGGCTTTTTGCCCCCCCCCCCCCCCTTTTTGAGGCCTCAAACAGTGAAAAAATGTCCTATTTAGGCCCAAAACACTGTTTTTCGTTTGAGAAATGTTGTTAAAAAAGTGACCACTTTTTTCGGCGCCGTCCCCCATCCAAATATTACATCAGGGGGTTGCCAGAAGGGGGATGTGCCCCCTTCTGTTTGGGGGGTGGGTTGAAGGGGGGCGGAGTTCCCCTCATCGCCAAGAAAATTTTGGACATGTGACAGGCTAAAAATGGTCTCAGGTCGATCTTAGGGTAACTAGTAACCGACGCTGAAAAACCTTTTACTCTATCTCAATTCATTGAGAAGTTGCAGCACTTTGAAATCAGTTTTGATGGAAAAAAAACAATGCAAAATAGTGATTTTTGGCAATTTTGAGACGTCCCCCCGTTGCCATTGTAACAGGAAATTTACCATTGAGCATGCTGTTACAGAGGCTATGGTGTAGTCAACATTTGTGCCAAGTTTCATTAGTATTGAAGCATTTTTCATAGTTTCATAGCAGTTTGAACTTGTTACAGGAGGCTTTTCAATGGAAACGGCCATTTTTCGCAATATGCTCATGGGGTATAGGTTAAAGTCATTGTTCGAGTTAGGGAATTTGGAAGATGTTTCGATTGGTCAATAATAAAGAACAATTTAAAGACACATGTGAATAATGCCCTTGTGTCAATGTTAATATAGTTTGTATCTACTATACAATCAAATTTATTTCAAATCTTTTAAAAAAAAGAACAATAATGAAAGCTGTTTGTTGCTATTTTTCTCTTCTTTTCCTTTATAGTTAGCCATGCCAAGATATAAAAAAGTCCTAAGACTTTGTAAAAAGAAAAGAAGTATATCGAGGAGAAAAAATGATGAAGATAAACACAACTGAACTTCAATTTAGCATATTGTGTTTTTATATCTATTTGAAAGACCCTGTGTTAGGATATATCTGCACGCATGTACAATTTGTATATACATGTATATTTCTTATTAGATGAACAGGTATAATTGCCTTAATATTGCTAATTATTAAAAAAAAAAGATAAGTTATTCCTCGCTAAAAATATGCATGCCACATTATTGACACAAAAGTTTGCAACCAAAAATGCTTGAAGTATAAGTCTGCAACCAAAATGTGCTTGAACAATATATTTTTGTGTATTGAATGTTATCTTCGGACTTGCGAACTAAACCATGACAGAAACATATTTTGTTATTGTTAAATGCAGTTCAAAACTTACAAATTCGAATAAATTAGGAGAAAAACCGATCAGAACAGTCACATGTCAAATTTCAAAATATCTACATGATCAGTTTATATCTTCAATAACTTCGTCAAAACAGAATCTAGGATGCTGAAACCTTTAACCGAGTGTGGTATATATATTGCATTATGGAATAGACATACTAATGAACTTCAAAATAACAAAGAAACCTACTTGCCTGGCAAAAAAAAGTTTCACCCGTTTAAAAAAATCACGCCGTGTTTGCCATTTTGTCAAGTTTGCAACCAATTCGCTCGCTTGAACCAAGTGTGCAACCACTTCACGTCCTGCCCCTTGGGTGTTCATCGGCCATTTAACACCGGTAATGAGTTTTGATGCGTAGGAATTGACCTCGAAGGCCGTAGGGCTGAGTGTGGTTTTATTTTCGCATCAAAACGAGTTGTTTTTTTACTGTCTATAGCGATGATTTATTGTATGCGCCATTTGCTTTAAGCAAAAAATTATTACCATAATTCTTTTATACAAACATTTTGGAAGCATACCTTTTTTAATTCAGCCAATATGTTTTGCAGTAGATACAATGTATATATAGCTTTAAATGGAATGATAATGATAAAGTTGACGTTAAACACAAGCAAGCAAAAAGCAACAAAACAAACGAACGCACGAACAAACAAACATACAAACTGTAATGTGTCTAGCGGAAAAATACATGCTATTTGATTTACAAGTGGAACTGGCCAGCGTTGACTAAAAAAAACCCAGTTAGGTGCTGGGTCATTTCATGCCCCACAATCAACTCAGACATTTCCTAAATAAATCTAGTAATCTTATGATCGCTAGCCGAAGTTCAAACCCCGTCAAAGGCAAGTCGTTGTTTCTTTGAGCAAGGAACAATACACTCATTGTTTAGTGTTGATTTCAGGAACAAATTTGAATGTGTCTATAAGCTCATAGCTTATTACACAATCAAACTAACATAAAATCTATATTAACCAAATAGCTTTTATTTTTTTATGATGCATGATTTTAGTCTTTGAATCCATACTGAATTTTTAAACGCTTGTATTTATTGTCAAATGCTCTCCATGACTTCTGGTTTTCTAGCAGTTTTTATGAATGTACATTTTTAAGAAATTGTATTTAATAAAGAAATCCGAAAATGCATTAGCGACTTAAGTTAAAAATGACCTACCATTGTAAATAATACAACTCCCATGCTCCAAATATCGGTAATTTCTGGATCGTGTGGAATTCCTTTTAAAATTTCTGGGGCTGCATACGCATAACTTCCGCAATATGTATCACACAACGACGGTCCACCACTTCTTGTTCTACCCGATTTCTTAGCAAATCCGAAGTCAGTGATTTTTAGCGTATTTTCCTTGTCCAGAACTAAGTTTTCACATTTGATGTCACGATGCACAAGTCCTTTCCCATGCATATATCTTATACCTTCATACAAATGTATAAACCACCTACCAGCTTGGTCTTCCTGTATGTACTCTTTGGCTTTTATCTCCCTCAAAAGGTCGCCATTCTCAGCAAGTTCCATTATAAAGAAGTATCTGGTTGTGGTCTCTATAATTTGATAAAATTTTATCACTGCATAGTGGTGTCCCAGATTCCGCATTGTCGCGATTTCGCGCGGTAAAAATTTAGTGAGATATACCTTAAATGACTTCTTCTTCGATATTATTTTTATCGCAACTTTATGCTTTTGATTTATATCATAGGCGCTTTTTACAGAAGCATATGAGCCGCTCCCGAGTGTTTTCCCAACAATATAACCTTGACCTTCTAGAATCTTTAAAGCTTTAATGCTTTTAATCTTTCCAGACGACTTTGCTTTTCGAAAAGTATCATCTTGTTTCGTCTGATCTGCTGTGCCATCTATTCTTTCCTGTTCCATCACTCGTTGCCTCCGTCATACGCTCCAAACATTTTGTAATTTAAATTCTTTGCCTACATTTTTGCACTCTCCAACGTTTGTATTGAAAAATTCTGGGAATCTTCAATCTCTCGTCTGCTAACGTTGAGCACGATTGACGTTTCGGAAACGCCATGGTTACAACGTTAACAACTGATTGAAAGGGAACGTCAGTAAACTGTTGATCTTCATTCTCGTTTTTTTTTTAAGAAATACTATGCTCATCCTTGAGTTAAATATTTTAAACACAGAAATTTATTGAAATCTATTAAATTCTTACTGAATATGTTTAATTTGAATATAGAAATGAATAAAGGTTCTATGCATGGGAAGCTACGTTCCCTATTACAGTTCAAATAAAGTTGGTCTTTTCCTAAAGAAACTGTCAGTTTTTCTAATGACACTATATTCATATTGCATGCAATCACCTAGCTATAGTGTGTATGATTTTAAACACAACATATCTACTTTTTTGAAGTCAAAACATGTTTATTTAATATTTTACAAAGAGACTGTGCACATGTAGCAATTATCAATATTTTCTAGTATCATATTTGAGCATAGTAGATCTAGATCTATAGACTGTATATAGTTACACATGACTTGATATTGAATTTTATGTTTATGTTTAAGTTTTTTTTTATGTTTTGAATTGATTTCATATGAACCAGTTTATCATTTTTGTAATGTTATTTTCGTTCTGGAAATTTAACTATAGCAAGACGAAGTTACTGTATCACAGTGATATGGCTATCTCTAATTAATTACTGTAGATTCTAAATCTCTGTACAGTAACAGTTTGAAAAAGAAAAATGTATGCTTAGAAATTTCATGGTCTAAATTAAATAAGGTAAACTATGTAAAGTTAATATTAAATCTTTATCTATCAAAATCACCATATTAAATTAAAGTGATTAAACTATGTAAAATTTCATATCGGTAATATGTTTCGTCCATTCCGCTAAATTATTCTGTTTCGCTAATTATGTACACAAAAATCGTGACGTTACCACTAATTGTGCACATGTCCGCGATATTTTGAAGTTGAAAATAAACAGATAAAGAAGAAAAAATGAAGAAAACGTGATTTAGTGAATGTCATTTATCGAAAACGGTAAAAATACTCTTTCCAACTAGTGGTAAAATTTGTTTAAAATAATGTGCTGTGTTATAATTCCGTTATTCATGCAAAACCGGTACAAGTCAACCCGGCCCCAAGTCAACCCGGCCTCAAGTCAGCCCGGCCCCAATTTGGTCAACCCGGCCCCAAACCAATGTTATTTCTGGTCAACCCGGCCCCTTTTTTTATTATTTATTTTGCTTTAAAATATAAACACTTATCAAGAAATAAATAAAAATTCACAACAAAAACAACAACAAAAGTTTAACGATGATATCTTTTATTATTTATTTTATATAAAATCTATCAATATTAACAAACAAGCAACACATGCATAGTTTACTGTTTTTACCGTCGCGAAAATAAGGTGACGTCTGTCTTCAACCTTAAAGGGATACTCAGGCAAAATAATGACAAAAATATAAAAATGATTTTCTGTACTCAAATCACCCTAAAATGACATTTCTTAAAGTCCCAACATAAATTTCTGTATAAATTCTATATATTTTGGGTTTGAAGTTAATATATCTATATATGTTGAACGAAATTTTGACGCGAACAGAATCACCGAATAGTTTAAAATCAATTCATGCGATTTGAACAAACCCGGGAAGTTACAATAATAAATATTGTGGATATTGTATGATTGAAACAAGTCTAAGTAATTGATTTGACATGTTTTTTAACGTTTCCAGAGTACAGAGTGACAACTATTGTGAAATTTTAGCGCTCTAACCTGACCCACGCGGGTCAAGTTAGGAAAACACCATTTTATTCTTTATATGGAGAAAAGTTTTGTTCCTTTGACTGTTTAGTGTATTCATTTTGAGGACATTTACAGAATAATGAATGAAAATTTTAAAACTAAGAATTGAAAATTTTGCCTGTGTCTCCCTTTAACCTCTCTACGATAGAAGTATTAAGAAAAAACTAAACATTTTTATTGACAAATCATGGAAAAGAAACCTTAATATGTTCAAATCATTACTATGTTATTGTATGTTAAAAAAAGAACTGACCAAAAGCACACTAAAGTGTTTCCATTAACAGTTTTTAAGTAAGATTAATTATAGAGATGCTGCCATCTACCACAGGTATCGCATGTCACTGCCTCCTGTCTGTTACGCACAATATATCCACAATCAATACAGTTATCAGTCATAATGACATAAAATGATTAAACACAAAACACTATCAATTTTTCAAACACTTAGTAATATTCCAATACTTTTTTACACAGTAAATATTCTTTGAAAATAAGTTAATAAAATACGAAACAAATATTAATTATACTGATGAACGTATTCAATAAAAACATTCAAATGAACTGAAAAAAATATTGTTGTAAACTTAATTTATACAAACCTTTTAACTCGAAATTCTATGCATTTCTTCCTAATTATCGCATTAACACTTATGAAACCATCTTTAATTTACATCGAATTTAAAGGATTTGTTTTCACAGCTATAGCTTTTTTTGTTAATTGATTGCTTTAAACTGTTTGATTATCACATCTGAAATATGTTGAGTTACATATAATTGTTGATGTTATATAATTATTCATTATCACTATTGCGTATTAAAGTCTTAATCGGCGCAATTAAATTTACCGACACTTTTATGCCAGTTCGCGTTTTTTTTACTATTGTTCTATAGTTAATAATATTCAATTAATAATTTTATTCCATCATACAACAAAATGACCTGAATAGTTTTCTTTGAAAAATACATATTTTGGGGCCGGAATGACCGATTTTGGGGCCGCACTGACTAATTTTGGGGCCGCATTGACCAAATAAAAATACTGTGGGGCCGGATTGACCAATTTTGGGGCCTGGTTGACCAATTTTGAGGCCGGGTTGACTTGGGGCCGGGTTAACTTGGGGGGTTGACTGTAATTCATGCAAAACAATTCAAATAACACAAGTTCACCACAGGGAATTCTGTCATTTTTTTCTTTCCCACTATATATATAATATAACAAGGGATACAACTCAAAATTGCTCAATTTATTAAAAAGTAAATAGAACGCAGTATACAACATTTTTTTTTCTTTTGATTGTTGGACATTGATAAAGGAATAGATAATTTCAAAAAAAATGACTCACTTTGTTACATGGACAAGATATTATTAAAAATAACCTTTCATGTTTCATTTTTACACGCGTTGATAAAATTTCGGTTTGTAAAATTACACGTGTAAAACGACATCTAATGCAAACGTATGCTCATATAAGAAAGTTTAATCATGTAATCGTTTAAATATCAATCATCCACCACCATCAATAATGCAATCATTAACTTCTGGTACAAATTATTTTGATGTTGCCCGTATGTTTCATGCGTAAATCCAAATTCTGTTAGTGACTGTCAATTTCATTGGCTAATTAATAATAATAATCCGGATAATAACGGCATATAGCCGCGACGAATAGCGGTTTTTTTTATCAGCCAATGAAAATACTCGGAAAATAAACACACCTGCAAAATGGACGACAACTTGACAGCCAATGTAAATATTGAAATGATAGCTATTTCCTGCAATGTTACAGGTTTTAATGAAGTGTTTGTAGAAGAACTTGGGTAATGACTCGTTCATATATTAACTTCTACAATAACTTTCACTTGATGGAATAGAGGATATTTTATGCAGTTTACACGTGTGAATGCATTTTACAAACCCGTGCTGGTAGTGCAAGGCCACGACTTGTATCCCTTGACGTTGTTTATATTATATTTATATAGATTTAATAAAAATGACAGATTTCCCTGTGAAGTTCACAAGATGAAAGGCCCATCCTGCTCAAGACTATAAGAGTAGTTCTGGCTTCCAGCTTTATTATCATTTTTTCTTTCGTCTGATGTGGCATTAAAGTTTTGGATGAGACACATTATGAAACCTAACCAGTATACAGTGATTTTCCTACTTATATAACAGTCACTCCGAAAAAAGGCCTCTTCCCAATTGAAATTTTCTTTAAAATCATGCAGTTTTCCCAAAAATGTTAAATATGAACTTAATCCAACTTTTTTACTACTCAAATCAGCATTTTCAGCACGATTTTTTCCAAAAATTAAGAGGCTAGAGCCTCTTCCCATTTAAGTGAGAAAAATCACTGGTATAAGACACGTTGGTGAAACCTTGTTATCATTTTCCTAGTTTAAGTTATAAGCAGTGTGAAGCAGTGGCTAGCTGTACGCGCCTGTATGGCGGCAGTATGTGAGTCATGAAAGACTAGTGGAAGCCTATACACAGAGTAGAGGCTAGTCTTACGGCATTTTTAAAATCAATAACCTATAACACAATAATATTAATAAACGTGTAAACTTGTGTGTTCTTAACAAAATCTTTATTGAATATATCATGAAAACTTTGTCAGTTACAGCACAGATAAACATACAGTGGATGGGAATCTCCAAAAAAAGATGATAATCAAATTCAGACCCACAATCCTTTGCGCGCTTTAGTGATAATGGAGTTTTCCGGCTAGTCTCTGATTTTCGTGCTCTCGTTAACGGTCCTACTAAACACTGCTAAGGACTGCTAAGGAGGCACAAAGGACCTTAAAAATAAAATACCTCTTAAGCCATTTTTATAACATATTTCAGTAAGTTTAGAGATAAAAACTGTATTATCTTAAGGAAAATCAAATTTTGTTGATAGAATTTATAATTTCGATGAGTCGCAGGACTGCTAAGAGGCACAAAGGACTGCTAGGAAGGCACAAAGAACCTTAAAATACCTCCTTTGGCATTCTTATAATATATTTCAGTATCTATAGTGATAAAAATGTACTATTTTAAGAAAAAATATAATTTTGGTGAAAGAATTTATGCACAGTCCTTTGTGCCTCTTAGCAGTCCTTAGCGGTCCTGCAACTCATCGCAAGTATAAATTCTATCACCAAAATTTGATTTTTTCTTAAAATAATACAATTTTTATCTCTAAACTTACTGAAAATGCCCTAGGAGGTATTTTCAGGTCCTTTGTGCCTTCTTAGCAGTC